AGGCCCCCCCCCGCCGGCGGCCGGGCCCGGGGCCGGCCCCCCGGAGCCGCTGGCTGGCCGGGGGCGGCCGCTGCCGTCCCCGGGAAAGGTCACACTGCAGCCAATGGGCACAAAGGACGTTCCCCAAAACGCTGGCTTAGCAAAGCTGCCGAAAGGGAAGGAGGGAGGAATGCGGCCGGCAGATTCCCGAGCCCCGGGCTGGCCGGGGAAAGCCAGAGCCGGGGCTGAACCAGGGCTCGAGGGTCCGACTCCCCCCCCCACCCGTTTCGAAGCCTTTCGGAAACGCAAACGCAGCCAGACGCGCTGGCTGCAGGGGGAAGAGGAGCCCACCCCCGGCCCTGCAGCCCCCCGGCACCGCGGCATGGATCCGGCCCCACGTAAGACCTAACAGGAGTCCCGGGTCCAGCTGAAAGCCAAGCCAGGAGTGACCCCGATGGCAAGACGATAATGTAATTCATCTTGCAGACCTTTAAAGGTCACGCTGTGCCTGGCCCCCAGCTGCCGCAGCCCCGGCATGGCACCGCTGCCAGCTCACCCGCCAGCCCCCGGCTTCCCCCAGCCAAGTCCGGGCAGCTTTCACCGGCGCCCAGAAAGCCGATACGCGCCCGGGGAGCCAGGTTTAAAAATACCCAGTGTAGGTCCAGCCCTGGCACCCACGGGGTGGCACCGGTCCCCAGCCCGCTCCCAGTGCCCCAGTAGGGTTTGTGCCCGTCCGCCGGGGACCAGGGCTGTGCCGGGCTCTGACGGTGGCTTCAGAGGGGACGGTGACTCTGCGGCTGCCTCCTGTCCCCACAGACGGCCGGAGGCACGAGGCCGCGCTGGGGCCATGGCAGCAGGGGACACCGGCTCTGCCAGTGGCAGCTTTCCTGGCAGTCCTTGTTGGCCAGGCAGATGTACTTGGCGTTCTTCTGCACCGTGCGCTGCGGGCGGGGAAGGAGCAGCCCAAGCTCAGCCCGGGGCGCCGAGCCACCGAACAAAAGCCCTTCTGTCCTCCCCTGCCTCCCTCTCCAGCCCGGCATCCGGCTCCGCATCCGTGGGGAGGGCTCCCGGGGCCGCGCTCCCTGCCCTGCCCCTCCCCGGGGTGACCCGCAGCATCCTCCCGCTGCTGCAAAGCACTGTGGGAACATCCCGCAGCAGGGCTGGCGGGGGGGTCCCCTTACCTTGAAGAAGCCCTTGCAGCCCTCGCAGGTGCGCACGCCGTAGTGCTGGCAGGAGGCGTTGTCCCCGCAGACGGCGCAGCGGCCCTCACCGGCCCCGGGGCTGCGAGCCTTGCTGGGGGCCAGCGCCGGCCCCCCCAGCAGCGGGGGG